AGCCTCCATATCTGGTCCACTGCTGCTCAGTTCAGTAATAACAGTGCTGTCGGCCTGGTCACTGCCCTTCAGGGAGACTCTGCTGCTGACAGCTCTGGCAGGTGTCCCTTTGCACTGGTAGGGCAGCTGACAGAGGACTGGTGGGGGCATACATCTGGCCTGTGCTCGTGTCCCTGGCCTCCTAGAAACAGGATTGATTCCTGGTGTCTCTGGCCCTCCCTGCTGGGTTGACAGCAGTTTTTGGGTCCATGCCCTTTTCAGTTACAACATTCAAGCTTGCTCACTCAGCCACTTTTCCCCAGCATCCTCCAGCAAAGGAAGTCAGCCAGTCAGCCACATGCCTTGCACAATGCAGTGGCAGCGATTCCCTTTCAGCAGGCACACGTCAGGGGTTGCTGGAATGTTGCTTCCCCACACCCAAGCCTCAAGAAGACATTTGCCTGCACTCAGACACGTTCTGTCAGTGCCACGCCTCCCAGGCATGCGATGAGTAATAATTATGCTCACCACATTAGCCAGCTGGTAGGGCTGTGCAAATTTCACTGTCTGTTTCATTTTGACAGTTTCGACTTGAAAAATCTTGAAACTGTGAAACTGAAACAAAATGAAAGGCTTCGAAACAGCCTCAAAACGAAACAAGGGCAGTTGAAACGTTTCAAAAGTTTAACTTTCTAAATGTTTTGAGTTTCGAAGCTGGGCTTGCTTGCAGCTAAAGAGAAACTAAGGAGAGGGAGGGGGAAGAGGGGGAAAGGACTGCCCTGATATTGACGTGTAGCTGGCCAGTGACTGTGATCCTTCCCTGAGGTCCATTTCAATCCCAGTGCTCTGGAGATGGGACAGAAAAACAGCACAAAAAGCATTGTTTGAACTAAGCTTTCTCTGTGCCTTCACACTTAAAAGTGACACAAGATTTGCTCTGAACAGTTTGAGGTCCAGTTTCCCAGAAACCCCTGCACCTATCTCCTTGAAACTTGGCAGGCTTCATGGCCTCAGAAGGGGATACCATCCCTACAAATTTAATCTGAAACAGGCAAGAAATAACAAAGTTATAGGCAGTTTCGTGCTTCCCCATTATAGCCTATGGGCGAAATGTTGAAACAGCTTTGAAACAGTGATGCAGTTTCAACAAAATGGAACAGTGCTTTCAAAATTAAACAAAACTCAAATGAAACACTGTCCCATCGAAACAGCAAAATGGAAGTCGAAACGAAACAGTGCTGTTTCGTACAAACCCTACCAGCTAGCACTGACACACAGCCAGCCTGCACAGTGTGGCTTGGAGCCCCATACATGAGACAGGCACTGCAGCTGCCCATATAGCATCTGTCTTGGCTGCTGTTGTGGTGGGAGTGTTTTGCTCTTTGCCCACAGCTTCCTGGGGATCCCTGTCTATGGAACTGGCATGGAAAAGACTCAAGAAAAAAGAGAAAAGGTGACTCCCCCTCCTGCCAGGTTTCCTTTTCCAGGGCAGAGTTCTTTCGTGCCCCATAGTGTACTACAAAACACCTCAGAAGCACACTGTGGCTTCCTGGATGCTTTCATCCCTAACAGTGGTTCGCCCTCGCCAACTATGCAGCGTGGGAGGCAGTGGGCCTGGTGCTGCACTGAGGAGCACACTGCTTCCATCTGGTGCACAGCTGGCTGGCTGGCTGCTCTGCCCAGCCTTCAGTGCCTGCCGGGCTGCACAGCTGGAGCTTCTGAGGCAAAAGTTTTGTTATCGCACCACCAAAGCTGCCATCATCCAGTAAGTCTCACACGGGCAAGGCTGGGTCAGAGCAACTACACAGATCAAAAACTGTGGATCATTGCCTGTGGAGGCATTTTGAACTCCAGATCAAAATGCCTCCATAGGAAACCTCTTCAATATTGAGCCAGTGCTCCCTGCCCCACAGAGGTTGCACCCTGGCCCTGCAGGGCTGGGAGGCAAGTGGCATGTGTGAATCCCCTACTCTTCTGGGAGGCTACACACTAGGGCAGGGGTGTCAAAATTGCCTTGTTCCTCAGGCCAGATCTAGACACATGGGCTCCTTGTGGGCTGGATCTGGACTGGGGCACATGGAAGCTGCTGTGGTGGCAGCAACTCCGGCTCTGAACCAGAGCACATGGTGGCAGCTCCAGCTCCCACCACATGCCTCATACCAGAGCTGGAGCTGCCACCACTATGTGCCACCTGTCACGACTACAGCTCCAATTCTGGCATGAGCAGAGAGCACAGCAAGAGTAAGCAACTGAGGAGGTAGAGCTGCATCAGTGGAAACTAGCAAAGCAGTCAGAGGGCACAGTAAAACAGTAGACTATTTTACTGTGCATTGAAGTGTCATGTAAAAAATGGTGACATTACACTAATGCAGTAAAATAGTCTATTGTGCATTAAGCACCACTAAAAAACAGTATGCAAATGCACTACTGCACATTAGCACAGCCTAATACCCATTAATTTAGTACCTCACATTGGAGATGCTAAATTGAATGTGTATTGTTTGCCCTCCTGTTGATGGTTGCAGATTGCCAGTCTGCAGCATGCCATTTCCCCCAGCCATGCTAACAGTATAGCGAACCAGGTAGAGCGGCTCTGTGGGCTAGATCTGGCTCCAGGTCCCATACTTGAAACCACTGCACTAAGGGCAGCTTCATGGCTCTTCGAGGGCAGAGCAGCCTGCTAATTGGAATAGGATGCTCCTCCCCACTGGGGGAGATGCTGTCCAGCTTGCCCAACTTTGCAGCACCTAGGGGCACTGAGGCAGGAGGAGGATGGAACAGTTGAGGGACAAGAGGCTTCCTGAAGCCCAAGGGAAAATCCATAGAGTCAGACTCCCACCTCCCTGCCCCTTGCCTCTACCTCCTGCTCTTCTCCCCTTTTAGATACAAATATACACACTCACTCTGTCTCTCTGTCTCTCTCTCTCTCTCTCTTTCCGCTCTTCCTTTCCCTTTTTACCCTCTCCAGTCAGCCAGTCAGTCCTGAGGCCACACTGATTGTTGGGGCATCTTTGATGTAGCTATAACTTTCCTCCATTCTTCCCAGTCTTGTACAGTCAGTTTTAATCCCATCCAGTCTTGATATTGGTGGTCCAGTTCATCCTAGGTCTTTGTCTTCTTCTTCATCATCTTCTTGCACTGTCAGTGGTTTACCCTGCCACTGGTACCATGTAGCCCAGTGCAACCTGTCTCATAGTTGGATTGCCGGCAACTAAACCGCCATCCCCACCTGGTCTGCCAGGTGAGAAGCATGTATTGAGACACAGCAGGACTAAAAACAAAACCTGCCAAAGGACAGATAAGCTCACAAGAGCCAACAGCCATCTGCACCCGGAGAGGAGATGGGCACCGCCAGGTTATTTCTGCCCAAAGTATCACCAATAATGCAAAGCCAATCAACTAACCTCCTCTCCAATAGCTACTCAAAATATTTTGTAGAAGGAGAAGCAAAATGAACGTTGGCTAGCGTCCAATAGTCATTCCAATAAGAAGGAATAGAAATTTCATACTTAAATTAGATTTGTTAAAAGTCAAGCCATTGTCTCTGGTTCAGCTGCATGCCCAAATATATAAAGATATCATTTGTGACATACTTAATTCTGGTCATTTGAACACCATCACAGACATAAATAATAACAACAGTTGCTCCTTTGGGTTTCTTTGTGACGCAGCATCTAGATTCTGTGATGTTCAGAAAGGATGTTATAGTGAGAGCAGGTTGGAAACATTTTGATACATGTCTTTTGAAAATCTTGATGGGTCAAAACTAGATCTTTTTGCATAAATGCATCTGTGTCAATCAGAGATGTGGGGCAGAAAATTTTCAGTGCTTAATTTTTCTGTGGGAAATTTTCCATTTCTAAAAATTAATTGTTTCATAAAATTTATTAGTAACAATGAATGGATGCCAATACAATACAATACAATACAATACAATACAATATTAGGCAAGCTTGGCAGTTTCAAAGTTTTAATTAAAGTTTTTCAGGTGATTATCCCTAGGAAGTGTGAGAGAGAGTACATATATGTTTTATTGATTTGTAAACAGGAGGGTAAATACAGTCACATAATAACCCAAACCAAAAATCAAGTTATAAATTCACCTAATTCACTGTGCAGGTTAAATCAAAATCAAAGCTAAAGTTCTTATTTCATCTAAGACTGCAAGAGAAACCAAAACCAAAACTAAAACTGTGATTAATTTTCATTTCACTTTCAGTTCAGCAAACACACAGAGCAGTGTCTCAGTTCTTTCCTTGAGTTGGGGAAGTTGGAAGTGTTTGCATACAGTCTGTTAGTCTTTTAGTGCTTCTGGTTTGAAGCAGTCATAATAATGCCTAATTAGAAAAAAAACTAGTGTGGGGCATCATTATAGTTCAAGCCACTGAATGAAGGAAGAAAGTTGGTAGATGTAAATATTGTATTCTAACAACATAACAAGAATGGAGAAACATTTAATAACATGTAGAAACTGTCCTGAAAGAGTGCAAGCCATATACAAAAAGCTAACACAACAAAGTGGTAGAAGAACATCATCTGAGAAAAGTCTACTTCAGGAATCCTATGTAAGTATACAAATTAATATGTTAAACAACACACACTATAGACTAGCATTTACATTGTTTTAAAACATTATAATTTTAAAAGTTGTTAATGCAACTCGACTATTATTTATTTATTTATTTATGTAAAATATTTGTATCCTGCTTTTCTGCTTGCACTAAGCACCCAAAGTGGTTTAGGCTTAACAATATATATATATTTTTAAATTACATAATTAGATAAATAGTTAACTATTTCAACCCAGCAGAGTGAGCTTAGTCCTCTGGCCAGTGGCAGAGGCCAGATTATACTTCCCTTTGGCTCTGCAGTCCCAGGGCAACTGAGCAGCAAGTTCAGCAGCAGGTGTTCTTTTTGGCAGGGAGGGAGGAAGCAAGCTCCCTGTCACTTCTCCTTCTTCTGATGGATGAGGCCAGGCTAGAATAGGCTAAAATAAAAATATTTTCCCCTTTCTGTTGCAGGAACTTGGTAGCTCAAGTGAAATAGCAGATTTGCAAAAAATGGAAAATGAAAATGTTGAGCTGCCAGGTCTGGGGGAAAAAGAAGCAGGATCTTCACTTTCAAGATCACTGTCACCAGATATGTGATCCACCATGAGTAGCTGTTCAAGACAGTCAAGCTTTTTATCAAGCTTTGGGGACAAAATGTCAAAAGAAGATCAAGAAAAATCAGATGAGAGATTAGCTTGAGCTACATTTGCAAGTGGTACACCTTTTTCCGTAACTGAAAATCAGTACTGGAAGGAACATTACAAAGTAATTGGCCCATCATATAAGTTACTGTCACATTATAGCTCATTATTTCTTAGACAGAGTATGACAGAGTTCAAACAATGGTTATTCAAAAGATTGGTCAAGCAGAATCGCTGACTTTGATGTCAGATGGATGAACTGATATACAGTAAAAGCTCTGTTATTTGGCATCCCCCGCAAATCGGGGGATGCCAGATAACAAAATATGCCGGTTAATTGAGCGGCCCAAACAGGTGTTCTTGCCTGTTCGGGTGACTGCTTCTCCTGCTGCCTCGCCTGCGGCATCTCCAACCCTCCTGCAGGCCTTGTGGGCCCCGCGGGACAGAAGGCAGGCCCTGCGCATCTTGTTATACCCCCGGGCTATGGGGGCTCAGAGAAACTGGAAGTGCCACGGTGGGAACTTCCCGTTTTACTTTACCTTAGAAGCCGGCATGCCAGTTAACGGAGCACCTGAACCAATATTCCTGGAAGCAATTGCTACCAAATCTCGTCATACAGGTGAATACATAGCCAAATTACTGAGTGAAGAGATTGAAAGTGCAGGTCTCTCCAGGATACAAGCCCTTGTAACTGATATTGTGAGTAACATGAAAGCTGCATGGCAAATATTAAAGGCAAAGTATCCTCATTTAATAGTACTTGGCTGTCTTGCTCATGGGTTGAATCTTCTGGCAAAGGACATAGTAAGTATGAATACAATGAAGACAACATTGGCAAGCTGCAAAGCAATTGTGAAGGTATTCAACAATCATCATGTTGCTAATCAGACTTTGAAGAAATTACAGAAAGAAAAGCAGGGGAAGGAAAGTGCACTTTCATTTTCAGGAGAGACTAGATGGGGCTTGGCTACAAAGTGTTTACATAGTTTGCTGTGCACAAAGAACTGTTTGTACTGTGCTTCCGTAGATGACAGTATCCCAGATTATTCCCGTGAACATTTGGAAGCAGATTCTCAACAATGATGTGTTCTGGGTTCGAGTTCAGGGAGCATTCAGTTTGCTACTACCAGTCTAAGTGGCTATCAAGAAACTTGAAGGAGGTACACCAAGCTTTTCAAATATTCCAGAGATATTCAGACAACTGAATAAAAATCTAATTGAGCTTGCTTTCTTCACCTCTACCCAAAAAAGAAGTAAAACAAATGTTTACTAAGAGATCTGAGTTTTGCTCTCATCCAGTTCATCTGGCAGCAAACCTTTTCGATCCTCAACACAAAGGACAACATTTATCAGAAGATGAATTATCTACTGCTCTCAGTACAATTATGGAAGTAGCTAAGAATGTCCCCAACATCGACAAAATAGCCATGATGATAGACATTGCCAAGTACCGTGCAAAAGAAAAACTTTGGAGCAAAGAGATCATTTGGCAGGCAGCAGAGAATATGTCTCCTCTCACATGGTGGAAGGGATATTGTAACACCCGACTGTTGTCCAGGATTGCTCTAAGGATTCTAAGCATTCCACCAACACAGCTTCTTGTAAACAGAACTGGAAAGCTTTCAGCTCAATCAAGACAAAAAAGAGGAATAGACTAACAAATAAACGCATCGCTAAGCTTATTTCTATTTCTCAAAATCTCTTGCTTCTAGAGAATCAGTCAGAAGCACAATTAGTAAAGAAGATGCAGTGTGATGATAAGTTGCCCTTGCCCATAGACTCATTGGTAAAACCATCCTTTAGCAAAAGAGAATGTGGTTCAAGTAGTTCTGAATCAGATTTGCCTCAATCTGATTCTGAAATGGAAATAGTAAGTAGTGCAAGTGATTCTACAGATAGTGACAATGAAACTGGAGGTGCTGCAATGACCTCAGTGAGTGGCTCAGTGTCTCCCTGCCATCACAGGTGGAACTGCTTGTAGATCTTTTCTTGGGATGAGGCTGCCTTCTAGTTTCTCAGTGGGCATGTCTACATGTGCATTTACTGTGCAGTAAGTGGCTTTTAGGCCAGCATCTACACGTGCAGGCATTACAGCACAGTAAATGCAAGTGGTCAGTGGAAACAGCCCTGGGGCACACACTGGTCTATGAAGCAGCAGCAGGAGCCAAGCTCAACATGAGTAAGAGCACCTGTCTGGCCGTGGGTGAGCTTGAGGACCTGGAATCCTTGGGGGTCTCTGTCCCCTGCAAAGGAAGGCCTACAGGTGATTTGCATGGGAATGCAGGTCCACGGGTGCATGTGCTATAATGAGTTTATGGGTTTGTTGGGTGAGTTAAGGTATGGGAAGAAAAGTGTACTAGAAGGTGTATATATATAACTTATATCTACATATATATATATATATAAAGACATATATTTTTACAAAAAAAGAAGTGTGCCTGGGGTTGGCCACCTCGGCTCCATTCTGTGTTCTGCTAAGGAGTTTCTTATTAATCCAGTTTTACTGATATAGAGACTTCTCTAGCATCCTTCCCCACTCAGTAACTCCCTCCCCAATTCTAGCCCACTCTCCATCCCTTTTTGTGAGGGGGGTTAGGGATTTTCTTCTCCCCATGTTGGGGTCACAAATCTTGAAGAACTGATGTTGGTGACAAACCCTGGCCAAACCTATCCAACTCTGGATGGTTTTGTGACAGCTTGCTGCTGTCTGCATCCTGCTGTCTCCTTGTTGGAGTGAGTTATGCTGGGAACACTCTTGCATCTCACAATGCCAGAGAGGTCTCTTGCCTGAGTTCACCACTCAGAGAGTGGCTGCATGGGCCAGATCCCCAGAGTGCTCACTCAGCCTCAGTCCATCTCTGGGAGAAGGGATTCTCCCCTGTTCTCAGGGAGAGCTGCTGGAGAGGCTTATAGGTTCCCTTTTTCCATGTGTCCTTCCCCACGTATTTGCAACTATTTCTGAGCAGAGATCTTGCCCACTACCCCAGGACATGCAGGAAAGGCTGATGGTTTGCACATGGATAAGACCTTTCTCAACCCCACAGAACAGTTCATTCAAGATCAAATTCCTTCAGACACAGCACTGGGCTCTGGGATCTCATGGCCTGGCATTCACACACACAGTCCTTCTGAGAGCTATATCTGGGACCTTGCTACCTCTTCCCTGATGAAGACTGAGGCAGGATGTGCTCTCCAGCCTGGATGGCTAAATGTTGTATTGACCCCATTAGATAGGTCCTAAAGAACCAAAGCCTTGCTTAGTGTGCTTGGCATCAACCGAAACTAGCCCTTTCCTGACAACCACCTGGGGCTGAAAGCACTAACGTGGCTAATAAGAGAGAGTGCCATAAAGCTGTGGAGATTCAGCATCATGGAGGAGAACCATGGAATACCTGTCGGCAGCCTGCCCACCCCCAGGGAAAAGTGCTGCT